AGAACAGGATATTCTGCCTTATTAACCTTTCAGCTGGAACAGGGAATTTCCCTCTTGTGGAAGGCTCTAGCTTAGTACAATCACTGCAGCTAATCCAGTGATCTGAGCCAAACAACTCCCTGTTCTACTCCAGAGATGTGCACAGCTCTGAGGGGTGGCAAAGGACACAACATAGCTGGGCCATTTTCCATCAGAGATGCCAGGAAAAGGAAATACCTTTGCCATCCACATCATGCTCTGAAGGCTGCTCATTCTTCACCGTGTTCTGATCTTCCACCCCTGCAGCAGCCTCAGGGACTGCCTGGGCATCACTACTGGGACTGACCTCGGTGTCCCTGCTGGACTGAATGTTTTGTGTGGCCTGTTAGGACAGATTCAGGGGAGACCCAGTGTTAAGCACAGCCCTGGGAATTGCAAAACAAACTCCCTTAAGTTCAACATTACTCTGGCTAAACCAAGGTGTATTTATGAATTGGATGATCACCAAAGCAAACAGCAGAGTCCTCCATGTACAAACCTGGATCCTGGGGGTATGGACACACAGGAAATGTACCACACAGCACGGCTGAGTGACATTTCCACTGGCATCCACGAGTGTTACGTGAACACACACAGGCCAAGCATCATTGGCCTTAAGCCTCAGGTCAGAGCCCTGAAACAATTCTGGGTTATAAGAAAAGATCTGATTGAAATCTGCTCCCAGTCTGCCGTGTTTGAAATGCTCACAGACTAAAGAAATGACATTTTAAGCAAAGCAGGTTAATTCATCAGTTTGCAGGACAGGGGCACAAACCCTACTGGCAGCTTGCTCCATGTAATCACCCCCCTGACACCATTCCAACCCCATCAGAATGCATTGCATCAGCACCTTGAGGCCTCAGCAGAGCTCAGGTTTCCTCTGCAATAACCCAGGAAGGCTGTAAGAACACAGATCCCACCTGGAGTGCTGAGCAGCAACATCCATGTTACAGGGAAGAGCTGAGATCCTCAGCAGGGATGTCATGGGGAAAGCTGGAGCAAAGAATTCAGCTTCATCTTCAAGGCTCAGGCCACTGGCTGAGCAAACAGGCAGAGTCCTTACACTGACACCCAACTAGGGCTGCTCAGGAGGATAATTAACTCAAAGTTAGAGGAGAAATGTCCAGAACCTCCACATCTCTGAGGCAAACGACACACTTGGGGCTCTTCTTCAACACAAACTCCCTGAGCATTACCTTTTGTTCCTGGGCAACTTGGTCCATTAATTTCTTGATGTTCTCCTCATGCTGCAGCCTCATCTCCTTGATCTGCTGCCCACACTGCAGACTGGAGAGAAACACACCATCAGTTCCATTTCAGCTATTGTATCTGCTCTCCCACAAACAAAATCAGGGGGAAAAATATAAAGTGGCACAAAAAGCCAAACCTGAGATATAACTAGAATAGTCTGTCCCAAAAGCCTGGTCCTGGCATGAGGGTGGAGAGGGAATGGAGTGAACACAGAAAGAAAGCAGAACTGGAAAGAAAAGGGACACGGCAGAAAAAAACCAGTAAAATAAACTGAATGGCCTTGAATATCTCTCCTCCAAAGGCTGGAATGTAAGCAAAATGTCAAGTTTCACAGTTCATCTGTCAGCAAATCCTAATCCCACTGGGAAAGCAACATGGCTCCCATGGCTGTCAGCGGAGAAGATGCACAACTACCAGTACCAGTTACTGCTCCCCACTCAGATAACACCACCTGAACACACAGCCACATGGCCACACTGCCCTCACAACACTGCCATCAGCAGCACTCCTGTCTCCAGACACTCAGCACAGCACACAAACAGCAGTTCGTGAGCGTGAAAGTTTCACTTTTTCAAGGGTTAAATCTCCTCTTCTCAAAGCTGCAGCAGCACTTGTTCTCCCTCTTTCTCCAACAGCAGCTTTAAAGGCTGAAGTCAGCTCAAAGTTTCAATCTGCACAGAGCTACACAAACGACATGGCACTGGGGGACAGGCAGCAGGTAACCAGGCTGTGGCACAGGGCTGTGTCCATTACACTCTGCCATGTATTTGTTAACTAAATCTCCATGGCGTAAAAATTGCATTGACTTAAAAATGCTCAACAATTCCAGTAAGCCAAGACTTTCCTCAGCTCCTCTCTCACCTTGTGAGGTGGAGTGGAACACCACAAAGAAACAGAACTTGGCGAATCCCAGAGCCAGAGCCAAGCTGCAAGGCCAGCTGAGCACAGTGGAGTCTGAGGACTGGCAAACCCAGGCTTAATGAGCACTGCTCAGTAAACACAGACCTGCAGTCCCCCTCCCCTGGGCACACACCTGTCATACTCCAGCCTCCTGCTCAGGTAGGTGTTGTTCTTCTTGTACTCGTGCAACTGATCTTCCTGGCGGATGAACTCCTGCCGCAGCTCTGCCAGTTGTTCTGGGGAAAGCATCAAAACCAGCAGCACATGAGAAATAAAGGAAAAAAAACACCCCATGGCATGTACAACTTTGCTAAATAAGTCACAAATTACTCAAGTTACATGTCAGTTTGTCTAGACACACATTAAAGATGGCACTTTACTGGTGTGTGCAGGTAGCAGCACGAGTTAAACACAAACTCTTCTGATACCATCCCACCCCCCTACATTTGTACCTACCTGTGATTCATAAGCCTCACACAATGCCATTTCACTTGCCTGTTGGCAACCTCAACTCCCTGAAAGACTGTGTCACCTGAGTGACACAGGAGCACTGCCACTCATGATGCTTAAACACACCTGGTCTGCAGGGTGTGTACCAAAGGAGGCTCCTTTCCTCTATCCATAAACCAACACCTATTTCCTGCCTCTCAACTGCTCTAGGAGTTCTCCCTGCTCCTCAGGCAACAAATAATTAAGCTTCCTGCTATTCTGAGCTGCAGCTACATGAATATGGGGAGAAGCCACGTGTGCTGTCTGCAGGCATGTTCACATCTGGCCACGTGCTGTTCCAGCTCACACTGAAAACTCTGAATGCAGAAAGATCTCAGGCACTGTGATCATGTGTATACAGAGTTTTTCTGGACCTTTTCTCACCCAGCATAAGCATCACAGTGTTTCTGATCAAACTACACTGAACTGGGTATTTGGCCAGGAAAACGATTCAAGTATGTTGGAAGTCAGCAGTGCCAGGACACACATTCCTTCTGCAGACAGCCAAGCCCACACGTACCCACACCAGTGCCAAACATGTACAGTGAGATCTCACATTCTGGGATGTTCCAGCATCACCTGATCCCCTGTTTATCCAGCACTCTGCAGCACCTGGGCAGTTAAAGTGCACACCCCCAGCTGCCAAATGGGTCAGGCATGAACCCCTCACCCTTTAGCCGGTGTATGTCAGCCATCTGGTATGAGATGTTGTTCTGGAGCTTCATCTGCAAGCAAAAAGAGGTTGGATAAGTAGAAGTAAGCAGAGGTTGGGGATGGTTTCTGGGCTGTGAACAGTCAGGTGTGTCAGTTTGCCTGGTAAATCCAATGTGTGGGGAGGATTATCACAGCCATGTGCCAAGTTCCTGAAAGTGTGAGCAATGTGTGCTCAGTGATCTGTGAGCGATACCACCAAACTAAACACTGGGCCAGGCTTGGCTAACAAGGGCTTACATGTAATTCCAGAACATATTTCTATCAAAAAAGCAGTTTGTCAGGAAGGACTAAGATAACCACACTGCATCCTGATCCTGCAGGAGAGATAAAAACAGACACAGCATCCACAGCAAACCCAACTGTGACCTAGTATATATCATAGGCGTTTTACACCTAAATATTTTATGTGTTGCTACTTAATATTCCTAACACACATTTTATTTTCAGAGGGAATCTGACACCAGCCACCTTCCACAACAGCTTTTAATTTGGTATTTCGGTAAGGAAAAGACTAGCACTTACCTACAACAAGTAAGGAATGCACATGCTCTAGTCCTGCAGAAAAGCTGCCTTGCCTTGTCCTCACACAGAGACACTGGAAGGCAAACCCAGCAGGAAAGGAAAGAGGCTGGAATATATTGAGGAAGGGGGAAAAATCCACAGCTGCCATCAGGCACCTCTGAGGCTGTGATTGGTTTTCTTGCAGGTTCATGATGAGACAAAGGGTAACTCCAGGGAGGTGCTGCACAGAGCTGTCACATGTGGGTGACAAGGTCAGCATCACCTCTGCTAGCTGCAGCACAGACACTCTGTGGCTGGGACACGGGGGGTGTTTCAGTTCCCCCAGGGGGAAAAATCCACAGCTGCCATCAGGCACCTCTGAGGCTGTGATTGGTTTTCTTGCAGGTTCATGATGAGACAAAGGGTAACTCCAGGGAGGTGCTGCACAGAGCTGTCACATGTGGGTGACAAGGTCAGCATCACCTCTGCTAGCTGCAGCACAGACACTCTGTGGCTGGGACACGGGGGGTGTTTCAGTTCCCCCCAGCACGAGTCTACTTTCTTACAAAACAATCCCCAAACATCTGCCCTGGCTGGAGGACTTCCTCCCCCCACCTCTACCTTCCCTTTGATCACATTATTCATTCTTCAAGACTATTTCCTGTGTTTTTGCTATGAGAGGCACTGCCACTGGGCTGACCACTTTGTGCCATGTGGGTATGATCAGGCGTTCCTGACTTGGAATTCCAGCCATGCAGGAACTGCTGAGATGGTGCTTTTCTGCAGCACACAGTGAACACAGAGCTTCAGGCACACACCAGAGGCTCCTTGGGAGGCAGAGTGCCCCAAGGAGAGTTTGTGCCAGCCTGCAGGCTCCTGGCTAATCCCTGGCAGAGGGGAAGAGTGTGGGCAAATCCCATCCCATGCCCAGAGCCATGAGGGTTCTGGAGGGCAGAGAGGAACCAGCACAGCTCCCACCTATGGGGGGGGACAGCTGCTTCACAAGGCTTTCCCCCTTAAAATAAAGCAAGAATGGGAAAATTAGGGACAGAGCAGAAGCACCAGTAAAACAAACAGAATGGCCTTGAACACATTTCCTCCAGAACCTGGAATGCAACTGAAAAGTGAAGCTCCACAGTTATCTGTCAGCATTCATTAATTCCACTGGGAATGTGATCTATAGGGAACCTGAGACCTCTGACCATAGTGCTGGAAAACCAGGACACAATAACTCCCCCCCAGGGACACTCAAGGAGCCTCTTGGCATGTCAGAGCCATGTTTGCCACGTGTGCTGCCCACAGAGACATTCAAGGCATCTCCACAGGATGCATGGAGCAGCAGCAGCCCATCCAGTGAAAGCCTGGGCTGGACTTCCAGAGCTTTATTACAAAAGCACCAGTAGCCCCGAGGTGGGGATTTCCCAAAGAAGCAGGCGTCAGCACCGAGTTCCCACCGTGCAGCTCCCCCTCCAAAGGACATGGCACAGGGAGCAGGTGCACAGTGTCTCTCCCTGTTTTGCAAAACCACTGGCAATAATCACCACATTATCCTGTTCTCCACTCCAATGCAGTCGTTTCCCAGCACCCAATAAATGTACAGGCAAAGTAGTGGGGTCTGTTTTCAGACCTTCATCTGTCATAACTCCTCAAACACAAACCTTCCCACTGGCTCCTGCTCATGCCAGGGACGCACCCCTTACCGTGGCTGGGGCAGAGCTGTCTGAGCAGGAGCTGCTGGCATTGTTCTGCAGTTTTACCACACAATCTCTCAGGTTGGTGATTTGGAGTTTCAGAGAGAAGTGAGAGAATTCATACCCAAAACAGCTCAGCTGACAGCAAACATCCCCTGTCTGAACAACAGAAAGGGAAGAAGCATTTCCATGATTCATGGGATCTGTTCCACCCACACATGCACACCCCATGGGCCACGGCACAGGTCCAGTCACCTCTGAGCCATGTCCTCCTGCAGTCCAGACCTGCTTGCACTGCTCAGGGCTCCCAGGGGCTCCTCAAAGCCTCTCCAAGCACTTGGGATGTAGGACATAAACCCTCTGCAGCCCAAAAAGCCCTGGAAAACCCTCCCAGCAATGCCGTGCATGGACACGTGGCAACCCTCCAGTGCTGAGCTGTGAGTCTTGTCATGGAACAGCTCCAGGCACTGTTGTGAAGCTGCAGCTTTGCAAACTGGGGAGTCATCGAGGAGTTCTGGTAGCAAAGAACAGGCCCAGCTGCTCCCAAGGGTGTTTGGCAGAACAGCTCTGTGCTGTGAAGCATTCCTGGGCAGCAGGGAAGGGCCAGGCTGTGTCCCACACCCGGCACAGCCAGCAGCAGTGTGGGACACAGTGTGGGACATCACCCCAGGTGATGGGAGGTGTGCTGCCATCACCTGGAGCCTCTCCCCCACCAACTCCTGCCACTCAGGCATTGCACTGAGCCGACTGCAAATGGATGTGTCAAGCTCAGAGAAAAAATAGATCCTAATGGTGTGCTGAAAAAAAACATGGAATAGTCAGGACACCAACGCTACCTGTGCATGCATCACCTGCCAAACTCCAGAGCAGACACTACCCTGTTTGCCTCTCGTGAGGAGCTCCAAAGGGAACACGGAGTTTGTTTCAAGGCCCAACAGACCCTCAGGAGCCCATCACAGGGTGACACAGGATGAGAACTCCCAAAAACTCAGGGGTTTTCCCCTTCTTTGTAAACACAAGTCACCAGGTCACACTCCCATATTTGCTCCTAAGAGCAAACAACATCCTAGTGCAGTGTTGACCCAGGGGAGGGAGGGGAGAGACCAGAGCTCGGGGTGGACTCCAGGGAGCCCTGAGCCAGGAGGAAGCCGCTGCAGAAACTGGAGTTGCCTCAGCACTTGGAAATGCACTTGATTTATGCGAGCACAGAGAACCTCAGCTGAGGACAAAGGAGCACAGAGCAGAACAGACACTGAGAACCACCAAAGCAGCACCTTCCAACCAGTTTTCTATATAATAAGCCTGGATTTGCTGTGATCACTTGATACCCTAGGAAGTGCCAGTGTTGGGGGTTTATTTTAGCTCCTGCATTTCCCAAATGGACTGAGATCACTGGTAAAAAGCAGATTGGTCAGATAGACTTGCCAAACTCTGTTTTGAGAGGAAAAACATTATCATTCAGGTCTCTTTTGGTCAGACACTTCATACCTGCTGCTAATTTTGTGACAGATCTTTGTTCTCTGCTCTCAGAGAAGCACAGACACTTAAGTATTGACACTTATAGGGCTGTTTTAGGAAACAAATTAGGATTGTTGCCACTGAGAAAAGGCTCACGTGGGAGGGAGACAAGGCCAGAACTGGTTTTAGATCAAACTCTGCTGTTCTCTGAGGGCACTCAGGACATTCTGCACACAGAGAGGATGTCTGAAAGCCACAAGCTCACATGGCCTGAACTGCAGTGTCTGAACAAAGGAGAAAGACTCAGGGCACACACTGCAGGCAACTAGCAGGGAATGGAACTGGAAAGGTTTATGAGGCACATTTCTCCTGCTCTGCCCTAGGCAGTGCCACACTGCAGAGCACCCAGACACCTCCCAGACTCCTGGGGAGCACCAGTTTGTGTCCTGTGCATCCAAGCCAGCCCTGGCTCCAGTAACACATCCCAGACACCTTTATTTGGCACCTACATCTTCTCTCCTGGTTTCCTACAGTGGAACCTCACAGACTTCCAAAAAAATCTTACTTCCTTGCATTAAAAGCACATTTTGCCATGCTGCCCAGGGCCTGGCCACAAACCCAGAGTCACTGAGCTTGGAAAGGACCTCCAAGACCATAAAGTCCATCCTGTAACCCATCACCACCTTGACAACTAGAGCAGAGCACGGAGTGCCACATCCAGCCGTTCCCTGCACACCTGCAGGGATGGTGACTCCACCTCCTCCCTGGGCAGCACATTCCAAAGCCTAACAGCCCCTTCCAAGAGGAAATTCCTCCTGAATTCACCTGGATTCCAAAAGGGCGGTTTTGCACTCGCAGGCAGTTACAGTAACACACCGAACAAGCTGACTGCCCTTCTGCAGGCACAAGGGGAAGGAACGACCTTGGCTGAATCTCACCTGCTACAGAAGCACTCAGTCACTGGGGCTGGATAACACCTTTAAGATCAAGTCCATTTCCTGTCTAATTGGGCTTTTTATTTATTAATTCTATTTAGTATTAAAAAACCTCAATATGTTAATAAAAATATTGTTTGCTGAACACAGAAATGGCTTAAATCAGTAGGAAACTTTAACCCCAACTTAATCAGTGTGAAGGAGTCAAACTGCAATGGGACATGATTGCATTCAGCTCTTTCTGTGGGAATTACATGTGTTTTTGCTGCTGCACATCCAATGTATGATACAAAGAGCCAGAAAAGCAAACCCAGGCAGTGACAACCCTGAGAGAGCCATTTCCACGGACCCACTGTGGCGCCAGAGCTCAGCCAGCAGAGCTGCTGCTGACCTGCATGCAAACCCCACACCCCTGAGCCCTGGGAC